CCAGGCTAGAGCGAGTGCCGTGGCGTCAGCCTCGCTCACAGCAACCTCAATCTCCTGGGCTCAAGCGATCCTCCTGCCTCAGCCTCCTCCCGAGTAGCTGGGACTACAGGCATGCGCCACCATGCCGGCTATTTTTTCTATATATATTTAGTTGGCCAATTAATTTCTTTCTTATTATAGAGAGACGCACTCTAGCCCGGGCGACAGAGTGAGACTCTGTCTCAAAAAAAAAAAAAAAAAAAAAAGCACATAAATACGGTGTTTTAAGATTTGCGTGTCTCTCTCCTAACTCCTAAGGCTCATGCTAACTCTGTTAACGTTTTAGATCCAAACGCGCCGATCAAGAACTTGCGGATGGACCCGGAAACTAAACGGCTGACCTGGGACCTTAGTGGCAATGTCACCAGGATTAGTTGTACGAGAGAATCAAGACCACCCGTGCGGGTAAGCACATTCCCTCGGGTGGGCACGCTAGATGTTTCCGTGTTGTCCTTGGGGGACGGCCTCAGGACCGTCTGGGTTCTACATCCACACGGGCTGAGGGAGGTGGGGCGGGTCGCTCGCAGCACACGGGCTCAGGAATCTGAGATGGTGCACGCTCTCGAGGACGTGGCTGAGGTGTCACAGGTGCAGAACCCAACAACGGTACTCGGGAAGCCTGCTCCTCAGCCCCGATCCTTCCGGGTCCTCTATCTTGCCATCTTCTCCGGGGTGCAGGGGGCTAGGGGACGGTGCCCCGTCCCACGGTGAGGACCCGGCTGCTCACACCTCAGAGTGTCTCGCCGGACCAGAGCGAGCTTCCCCGAGAAGACAGCCGGTCTCCTCAGACTGCCGCCTGGGTTCCATACGACCCAAATCTCCAACCTTTCCTTAGTCAGCTTGGGGAGACACAACAGAGCCCCACGGACCGGGCGGCTTAACCAACAGACGTGTGCTCTCTCCCGTCCTGCAGGCTGGACGTCCCGGATGCAGGGGTCTCAGGGCTGCTTCCTCCTGGGTCCTCTCTCCTGGGCGTGTAGACGCCGTCTCCTCCCTGTGTCCTCCCGGGTCGTCCCTCTGTGCCTGTCTGTGTGCTCATCTCCTCTGCTTATAAGGACACCAGTCCTGTTGTATATTGGGACCCACCCTAGTGACCTCAGTTTACCTTAATTGCCTCTTTAAAGACCCGTCTCCAAACATATCCACTTTGAGGGCTAGGGCTTTTTAGTGTGTGCTTCTTTGGATGTTCCTTTTTGACAGCATCCTGTTCTTGTTTCATGGTTGAACTGTCTCTTCTTAGTGCTCTCAGAGAATCAGGGGTGAGTTTCAACAGGTTTTCTTCTCCACGCCTAATCTCCCGTTCCTCCCTTCCGGTTTTTTTTTTTTTTTTTTTCGTTCATTTTGTTTTGGCCTCTCTCTCTCTCTCACAGTGTGAGACCTTTCCCAGAAGTCTGACCACCTCTGACTGTCTGTTCACGTTAAGAGTGAGAACTAAAACTCTAACCACACAAGTTCTGAGCAAGCGGGCGGGGTGTGAGGTCTGAGGACCTCGCTCTCTGCTGACGACGTAGCTGAGCAATCGTGGAAGATCCCCTGACACCACATGAGTCATCTGAGGAAGTTTTATGTCAGCACCAAAAACGCACAAGTACGGCAGGTCCTCGAGTAGCACTGTTCCATTCCACGCCGTTTTGGCATAACATTGACAAGAAAAAAACAAAAATGTGGTTCCCGGCGGGGGCTGCTATCTGGGTTTGCACGTTCCGCACAAGATTATGTGGGTTTTCTTGGGGTGCCCCGGTTCCCCCCCACACATCCCAAAGCTGAGCCCATTAGGCGAATGGCTGGGTCTATATCACTCTAGTCTGAGCGAGCGTGGGTGTGTGCGTGAGCCCCCTGTGATGGGATCGTGCCCTTAAGTGGAATAACAGGGCAAATATCTTAACGTGTTTTTATTAATCTTTACTAAATGTAGGTATAGCTCGAGTCTATTTCGATGTTTAATGTTGGAAATGTTTTCGTCCTTATTTATAAGTTTGATGATTTTTTTTTTTTGTGACCAGAAAATAAGCCGTAGGAACTTGACCTCTTGTTTATATCAAATAGCCTACGACGGAATGGATTTTATCGTATTTATTCAATAGATGGATTTATTATATAAAATAAAATATATTTTGCTTAAAGCTGAAGTTTCTGAGAACCCATCGACAACACTAAATGAGGATTTGCTACGTACACGTTTTCTCATAGGCTCACGTGCGTTTTTTTCAGTAGGTTTTTAACCACCTCGGTAAGCACGGCGGTCTGTGCTGTGCATTGACAACGGGGCAGTCTTGCTCTTGGGTGACGAGGAAAGCTTGAAAGCACCGGAAGCTTGTTTCACTTTACAGGCAGCTTTGCTTGTCATGTCAATCCGAATATGTAACATAGGCATATATCTTTCCATTACGTTATTTTTAAATGTTCACAATGTTATTTTTATTTTATTTTATTTTATTTTGAGACAGAGTCTCGCTTTGTTGCCCAGGCTAGAGTGAGTGCCGTGGCGTCAGCCTCGCTCACAGCAACCTCAGACTCCTGGGCTCGAGCAATCCTCCTGCCTCAGCCTCCACCCGAGTAGCTGGGACTACAGGCACGCACCACCATGCCCGGCTAATTTTTCTATATATATATATCAGTTGGCCAATTAATTTCTTTCTATTTATAGTAGAGACGGGGTCTCGCTCTTGCTCAGGCTGGTTTTGAACTCCAACACAATGTTATTTTGATAAATGAAAAATTAGAAGAGTCGTATCACGGCTGTTGGCTAAAGTCGCTGTGCGCGTTCATCTGTGGCTGTCGGCGCTGGTCCCGAAGTGGTTAATAACTTGCCTGGTTGAGTTTTTCGTAGACTTGGTTAAATATATATTGTTTCTGTTTGTGTATACATTAATGCTCTTGCCTATTACCCCATGCAAGAGTTGATGTTCTGTTTTTTATTAAGCTATTACACAATGTGGGTACTGAGATTACATGTCACGATTCTGATAAATTTTTTCTATGAGGTTGTTTTCCTTTCATTTTTGCTTTTTTGCATAAGCTTCAATTCTTGTTTCACTGTCTTTCTATTTTTTCCTTTGTTATTTTTTTTATCATTCTATCCTTGGAAAAGTAACATCTCCCTGTATCTAGTCTTAAGTGGAATTATTTGTATACAAATCGGCGTACCTTTATTTAAAAAAAAAAATCTATGCCGGGCAAAGTGGCTCACGCCTGTAATCCCAGCACTCTGGGAGGCCGAGGCAGGCGGATCGCTCGAGGTCAGGAGTTCCAGACCAGCCTGAGCAAAAGTGAGACCCTGTCTCTACGAAAAATAGAAAGAAATTAATCGGCCAACTAAAAGTACATAGAAAAAATTAGCTGGGCATGGTGGCGCATGCCTGTAGTCCCAGCTACCCAGAAGGCTGAGGCAGGAGGATCGCTTGAGCCCAGGAGTTTGAGGTTGCTGTGAGTGAGGCTGACGCCACGGCACTCACTCTAGCCTGGGCAACAGAGCGAGACTCTGTCTCAAAATTAAAAAAAAATTAAAAAAAAAAGAGTTGATGTTCTGTTTTTTATTAAGCTATTATACAATGTGGATACCGAGATTACATGTCATGATTTTGATCAACATTTTCTATGAGGCTGTTTCCCTTTCATTTTTGCTTTTTTTGCATAAGCTTCAATTTTTGTTTCACTGTCTTTCAATTTTTTTCCTTTGTTATTTACCTTATGATTCTATCCTTGCAAAAGCAACATCTCCCTGTACTTAGTCTTAAGTGGAATTATTCATATACAAGTCATCGTACCTTTATTTTAAAAAAAAAAAATCGAAGCTTTAATATCAGGCGACGTATGTTACCTAAACAACAAGCACGCTCTCCTGTCTTTCTCAGGCGGTCAACAACAGCTATTGCTTCTTTGCGTGGAGCTCCCCGTGCAAAGCCACGAACTACACGGTCACGGTGACCCACCCGCCATTCTCCACGTGGATCCTGTTCCCCGAGCCAGGTGACGGGACGGGCTTATTACGTGTGCATTTCAGTCGGCGGCCCGCATGCTTAAGGTCAAAGTGGTCACCCATGCCTCGGAGGGACCTCCAAGGGTTCTTGCCGAGGGGAGGAAAAAGACAGCCCCGGGGGGCGGGGGGGAGGCACACGATGGCAGCTCGTAGAGATAACCATCTTGAAACGGCAACATTGTGGAAAGGAGAAACAGGCTCGTGACTGGCGGGGTTCAGCAGGGGCTGCAGGGAAGGAGGGAGGGAGGGGTGGCCCAAACCACGCACTTTGGGGAGATCTTGCAGGGATGAAACCGTGGATACCTTGAGCGTGTCCAGATCAGCTTCCCGGCTGAGCCGTTATGTTTTAATACCGTGTTTCCCCGAAAACAAGACAAGGTCTTCTATTTATTTCTCCTCAAGAAGACACTCTAGTAGGGCTTATTTTCAGGGGATGTGTTATTTATTTATTTTTTTTAAGTACGGTACAACCATCTACGTTGATTCAAACACAGTGAAGTCGTCTTCTTCTGGAACATCATCCTCACTCTCCAGACCCCGAATCCCATCCCGAATGTCTCGAGACTCTGTTTCCTTTACAGCCACCGGCCCCGATCTCTCCTGTGGAGCACTAGAGCTCTCACGGGGCGGATGAGAAGGGCTGCTCGTGTTCTTTCCCGCTCCGCGACGACACGCACGGGTTGTGCAGATGCACTGTGCAGCCATGCCCGTCACTAGGGCTGATTTTCATAGCCACGCCCATCACCAGGGCTGATTTTCATAGCCACGCCCACCACTAGGGCTGGTTTTCATAGCCACACCCATCACCAGGGCTGATTTTCATAGCCACGCCCATCACTAGGGCTGATTTTCATAGCCATGCCCATCACCAGGGCTGATTTTCATAGCCACGCCCATCACCAGGGCTGATTTTCATAGCCACACCCATCACCAGGGCTGATTTTCATAGCCACGCCCATCACTAGGGCTAATTTTCATAGCCACGCCCACCACTAGGACTGATTTTCATGGCCACGCCCACCACTAGGGGTGATTTTCATAGCCACGCCCACCACTAGGGCTGATTTTCATAGCCACGCTCACCACTAGGGCTTATTCTCATAGCCCTGCCCATCACTGGGGCTTATTATTTTCATAGCCACGCCCATCACTAGGGCTTATTCTTATAGCCATGCCCATCACTAGGGCTGATTTTCATAGCCACGCCCATCACCAGGGCTTATTTTCATAGCCACGCCCACCACTAGGGCTTATTTTCATAGCCACGCCCACCACTAGGGCTTATTTTCATAGCCACGCCCATCACTAGGGCTTATTTTCATAGCTATGCACAGGGCTGATTTTCGAGGTGGGGCGTCTATGGCGCACATGCTCAGACATCCTGCCAGGGCTTATTGTATGGGAAGGTCTTATTTTGGGGGAAACACGGAACTACAGCAATGCAGGACGTTCCCGGTGGGGGGAAACCGGGTAGAGGGCCTTGCGGGACGTCTTTGCGGTGTGTCTCACACCTGCGTGAGGATCCGCGGGGGAAACCGGGTAGAGGGCCTTGCGGGACGTCTTTGCGGGACGTCTCACACCTGCGCGAGGATCCGCGGGGGAACCCGGGTAGAGGGCCTTGCGGGACGTCTTTGCGGGACGTCTCACACCTGCGTGGGAATCCTCGGGGGAAACCGGGTAGAGGGCCTTGCGGGACGTCTTTGCGGGACGTCTCACACCTGCGCGAGGATCCGCGGGGGGAAACCGGGTAGAGGGCCTTGCGGGACGTCTTTGCGGGACGTCTCACACCTGCGCGAGGATCCGCGGGGGCCTGAGGACACAGAGCGCGACCCTCACGCGCGCGTCAGTTACTCTGCAGGGCTGCTGACTCGGTTTCGCCTTTTGCCCCGGGAAGCCCAGGCGACACACCCGGCGCAGCCGCGGAGAACCTGTCCTGCCGGGTGCACGACGTGGATGTCCTGACGTGCGCGTGGGCGGCGGGCCGGGCGGCCCCCCGGGACGTGCAGTACGAGCTCTACCTGGAGGACGGGAAGTAGGTGTGGGCCTGGGCGCGCGGGCGGCGGTCCGGGCGCGCGCAGGGGGGAGTCCCCCCCGGCTCATCCCCGCACCTGTCTACCTGCCGCAGGACCTTGGCGCGGCACAGGTGTGCGCGCTACAACACGGACGCCCGGGGAACACACGTGGGCTGTCGCTTCGACGACATCTCCAGAGTGTCCGGCTACCTCCAAGCCTTCCTGTTCGTGGTTACCGGCAGCAGCGGAGCCGCCCGCGTCCCCTGCACGGAGATTTTCAAGCCGCTGTGTGAAATCGGTGAGTGAGGGCAGGCCGCATCTTCCTCACCGCCTGCACCTCCTTCAGCTCCGGGGTGCTGCTGCTGCTGCCGCCGCCCGAGCTCGGGCTGCCGTCCTGGATGCCGCGCACGGGGCGGCTGGTAAACAGCAGGCGCCCACTGCTTGCAGCTCTGCAGGCTAGAAGAGCGAGATCCCGGCGTGGCAGGGGCCGTGTCCGGCGGGGACTCACCTCCTGGTTCACAGACGGCGCCTTCTCGCTGTGTCCTCACGTGGTGGAAGGGGCGAGGAGGGAGCTCTCTGGGGTCCCTTTTATTATAAGGACCCTGGTCCCATCCGGGAGGCTCCACCCTCAGGACCCCGTCACCTCCCAGAGGCCCCACCTGCCAACACCATCTCCTTGGGGGTGAAGGCTTGAACATGGGAATTTTGGAACGGACACACTTGGTTTATAGAACTATCTTAGGAAAGTTTTTTTTTTTTCTTTGAGACAGAGTTTCACTCTGTTGCCCAGGCTAGAGTGAGTGCCATGGCGTCAGCCTCGCTCACAGCAACCTCAGACTCCTGGGCTCAGGCAATCCTCCTGCCTCAGCCTCTCAAGTACCTGGGACTACAGGCATGCGCCACCATGCCCGGCTAATTTTTTTGTATATATATTTTTAGTTGTCCAATTGATTTCTTTCTATTTCTAGTAGAGACCGGGTCTCTGCTCAAGCTTGTTTCGAACTCCTGACCTCGAGCAATCCGCCCGCCTCGGCCTCCCAGAGTGCTAGGATTACAGGCGTGAAGGAAAGTTGTTTCTTAGTTCTGTTCTCTGTCTCTGTCTCCCCTACCCCCCTAACTTCCATCTGTGTCTCCTCTTCTGTCCCTTGTAAGGACACTGGGCACTGGATTCAGGGACCACCCTAATCCAGGGGGTTCCCACCTTGGGGTCCTTCACCAAGTGTCTCTGCTAAGATCCCTATTTCCAAATAATTTCTCTTTTTAGGTTCTGGGCATTAGCATGAGGGCACATCTTGGTGGAGTCGGGGAAGGCACAGTTTGATCTACGACAGGCATATCCAGCTCTTTATACAGGCTCCAGGGGAGGCTCCTTCCCGCCTCTCCCGGCTCCCGGGGGCTCCAGGCGTCCCTGGGCTTGTGGCCGCAGCCTCACTCCCGCCTCTGCCTCCTCCGTCTGCCTCCACGTGGCTTCTCCCCCGCGTCTGTGTCTTCCCTAACCACACTGCCCGTTGGATTCAGGGCTCAGAAGGATCTTCTCTTAAGGTCCTTAACTTAATTCCATCTACAACAACCCTATTCCCAAATAAGCTCCGATTTGCAGGTTCCAGGTGGGTAAGTGTTTTCGGGGGGACACCAATTCACCCTGCCACAGAACTGTCTGCAGAGGTGCTGGCCAGTCTCCCCTTGGTCCCGGACACCCCCCTCACCCAGAGCCGTGGGCCCACTGGGCCTCCAGGCCTGTCACGCGGGATCGGGGGCGTCATGTGGTGGCCAAGGCCCCCTCAGCTACCTGCAGGCAGGCAGGCAGGGAGTGTGGTCCTGGCAGCTGCCTTCACCCCTCACCACTGCTAGGGGCTCCTGCTCTCAGCCAGACCTGCACGTGCAGGACTGGACATGCCTCTGGGTAAACTGAGGCAGGCGTGGAATCCATGGTGCATGAATTAGCAAAAGGGGGAAGCAAAGTGGATAGATATTCTGGGAGCCGCCCCATCAAGTAAGAAGGCGGACGCACAGTTTGCTGAAGGAAGCTTTTTAATTTTTTTAGACAGATTCTCACTGTGTCACCCGGGCTAGAGTGAGTGCCGTGGCGTCAGCCTCGCTCACAGCAACCTCCAACTCCTGGCCTCAAGCGATCCTCCTGCCTCAGCCTCCAGAGTAGCTGGGACTACAGGCATGCACCACCATGCCCAGATAACTTTTTCTTTTTCTATATGTTTTTACTTGGCCAATTAATTTCTTTCTGTTTTTATAGTAGAGACGGGGGTCTCGCTCTTGCTCAGGCTGGTCTCCAACTCCTGAGCTTGAGCGATCCTCCCACCTCGGCCTCCCAGAGTGCTGGGATGACAGGCGTGAGCCACCGCGCCCGGCCCTGAAGGGAGCTTTTTTGGGGAGGGTCTCCTGGGGCAGCCGGGGTCTCCAGACCTGGTTTCACGTCTGAGGCTCAGACGCTAATGGTCCCAACATGGGTGTGTCCTGCGTCTCTCTCTCTCTCTCTCTCTCTCTCTCTCTCTCTCTGTTAGTGTTTCTGCCCATTGTTCTTCCACCCCGGAAGGGCCTTCTCCCCTCTGCCCCCATCTCCCACCCCCAGATTCGTACAAGGCAGATTTTAAAGTGTCTCCACAAAAAAAAAAAATTATTTTTTTGGGTTTACTCATAGAAGTTTTTTCTTCCCCTCCCCCTGCCCCCCATCCTAGAGAAATTAACTCCTCCCAACATTACCGCCGAGTGTAATCAAACGCATGCTTTCATGGAGTGGAAAATGTTAAGCCATTTCAATCGCGATTTTAACTACGAACTTCAGATACAGAAGGTAAAGTCTGGCTCAACAACCTGCGCTCCAGGGAGGGGCTTGGGGTAGGTAGGCAAAGTCTCCTCGGATAGGACATAAAAAGTATGAAACACGAAAAGTTTCGTAAAGGGGGCTTTAGCAAAACTAGAGATGTTGACTGGTTAAAGGTACCATTGAGAAACGGAAGGGCCTGTAACCCTAGCACTCTGGGAGGCCGAGGTGGGAGGATTGCTCGAGGTCAGGAGTTCGAAACCAGCCTGAGCAAGAGCGAGACACTGTCTCTACTAAAAATAGAAAGAAATTAATTGGCCAACTAAAAATATATGGAAAACATTAGCCAGGCATGGTGGCACATGTCTGTAGTCCCAGCTACTTGGGAGGCTGAGGCAGGAGGATCTCTTGAACCCAGGAGTTTGAGGTTGCTGTGAGTGAGGCTGATGCCACGGCACTCTAGCCTGGGCAACAGAGTGAGACTGTCTCAAAAAAAAAAAAAAATAAGAAAAGAAACGGAAAGGCCAGGTATGGTGTGTCACAACTGTAAATCTTGCACTCTGAGAGGCTGAGGCGGGAGGATGAGTTGAGGCCAGGAATTTGAGACAAGCCTAGCAACATAGTGAGACCCTATCTCTAGGAAAAATTTTTAGAAAGTGTCAAGGAAGAAAGGAAATTGAAAAGAAAGAAAGAAACCAAAAAGGCAAGCTGTAGAATGGAAAGAAATATGCAAAATATTACTATATACGTCCGGTAAAGAACTTATATTTAGGATAGGAAAAAAAATGGGCAATCCAGTTAAATGAGGTCTACAGGGGGAAAAAATGGGCAAATGGTTTAAACATATTCCCTCCCCACCAAACATTTTTAACGGGCAATAAACACATGAACACGTTCAATGCCCTTAGTCATCAGACACACGCAAATCGACACCCCACTGCACGCCCATTAGGTCGGGTGAAATGGAAAGCAAGCACTGGCAAGGACAAAGTCGGCGATTTCCTTGGTGGGGTGAGCCTGGGAGCAATGAGTGGTTTCACCGTGTGCCCCATTTGGCAAAGCTCAGCAAATCATACAGCAGCCTAGCTCACTGCAGCCTCCAACTCCTGGGCTCAAGGGATCCTCCTGCCTCAGCCTCCCCAGTAGCTGGGACTACAGGCGTGCACCACCACGCCCGGCTAATTTTTCTATTTTTAGTAGAGACGGGGTCTCACTCTTGCTCAGGCCGGTCTCAAATTTCTGACCTCAAGCCATCCTCCTGCCTTGGCCTCCCAGAGTGCTGGGATTTCAGCCATGAGCCTCCTCAACCAGCCCAAAGCGAGCACTTTAAACATGCAGTACTCTATGTAAATTATACCCAAGTAAAAAATTTTTTAAATTTAAAACATTATCAACTATTTTTGAGCTAATCAGTATTTTATACTGAATGGTTTATTTTTTTGTTTATTATACTTATTGATTTATTATTTTTAATTACTGATTCTTTTATACTCAATTTTTCCATAAATGTAAAACTGCCCCCCAAAAAGTCTATTAATGTGAAAAAAAGCCCAAGAATTTTTGAGCTAATTGATATTTTATACTCATTTATATTTATGTATTATGTTTATTTATTTATTGCATTTATTTTTTGTGTGCAATAATTACTTTGGACTCAATGTTTCTGTAAATCTAAAATTGCTTTAAAAAAGAGCCTATTAATTTTTTTAAATGATCAGTTATTTTCAAGCTAATTGATATTTTATACTCCATTATTTACTTATATGTATTACATTATTCATGTATTACTATTATTATTATTTATACTCAGTCCCTAATTATTTTATAATTAAATGTTTTACTTTATTTCTTACTTTTAGTTATTTATGTTGTATTTATTTATTTCTTATACTCAAATAGTCATTATTTTATACTCAATTTTTCTGTAAACCTAAATCTGCTAGAAGTGTTTTTTTATATATATATATTACCAAGTATTTTTTAGCTAATTAGTATTTTTATATGGTTTTGTTTTCTGGATGGATACAGAACAAACTTCTTTTTTTTTTTTTTTTCAAACAAGTCAGTTGTCTGACAGAACAAACTTCTTTCTCTCTCTGGTGGATTAGAGGCTGCGGGGCAAAGCTGCAGCACGAGGTGGAGTCGTAGCCAGGCTTTAAGTCTGGTGCAGCAGCCGCCCTCCCTGCTGGCCCAGTGTAGACTGCCAGTGGCCCATGAGAAACGTTTTCTCAGGCACCCCCTGCCACCCGGGACCTTCTGAAAGCCCCCACGGCTTCCCTGGTTTCCTGGCAGAGACATCCTGGTGTGAGGAAGGGGGCCAGGAAGGAGTCCCGGCGCTGAAAGGCTTGTCTGATTTGTGTCTTGCAGAGCGCGGGGGCTGCAGCCATGGAAACGGTGAGTGTCCCGGCCCCGCACTTTGTCCTCTGCATCCCCACGGGGAGGGGCGGGGACACGGAGCCTCAGATATGCCGCGCCAAGCACGACAGCCTGCTGGGTGCCACCCAAGCTCGGTGCACCCTAGTCCGGTGGTGGCCGGGGCCAGGTGGCCGGCAGAAGCAAGCCGCCCCATGGGGGCTCTGCCCTGCACAGGCAAAGGGTTGCACCCAGGCGGCCCATGCACTGGGGGAGCGCCCCAGGCCTGCCCGCGGTGAGCCCCCCGATGGCCCCTGCACTCGGAGAAGACAAGTCTAGATAAAGGGCTTCCCTCTCGCTCTTCTTCTCTGCATGTCTCTGTCTCTTTCTCTCCCTGTCTCTCACTTTTCCTCTCTCTGCATGTCTCTGTCTCTCTGTCTTCCTCTCTCTGCATGTCTCTGTCTCTTTTTCTCCCTGTCTCTCTCTCTCTGCATGTCTCTGTCTCTCTCTCTCCCTGTCTCTCTCTTCTTCTCTGCATGTCTCTGTCTGTCTATCTTTCTGTCTGTCTCTCCCTCTCTCTTCATGTCTCTGTCTTTCTCTCCCTGTCTCTCTCTTTTCCTCTCTCTGCATGTCTCTGTCTGTCTCTTTCTCTCTGTCTTCCTCTCTCTGCTGTCTCTGTCTCTTTCTCTCCCTGTCTCTCTCTCTGCATGTCTCTCTTTCTCTCCCTGTCTATCTCTCTCTTCTTCTCTCTATGTCTCTGTCTCTCTCTTCATGTCTCTGTCTCTCTCTTCATGTCTCTGTCTCTCTCTCGCTGTCTCTCTCTTTTCCTCTCTGCATGTCTCTGTCTGTCTCTTTCTCTATATATATCTCTCTGTCTTCCTCTCTCTGCATGCCTCTATCTCTTTCTCTCCATCTCTCTGTCTCTTTCTCTCCCTGTCTGTCTCTCTCTTCTGTCTCTGTCTGTCTCTCTCTTCCTCTCTCTTCATGTCTGTCTCTTTCTCTCCCTATCTGTCTCTTTGTCTCTCTCTCTTCCTCTCTCTGCATGTCTCTGTTCTTTCTCTCCTTGTCTGTCTCTCTCTCTCTTCCTCTCTCTGCACGTCTGTCTGTCTTGCTCTCCCTGTCTCTCTCTCTTCCTCTCTGCATGTGTCTGTCTTTCTCTTTCTCTCCCTGTATCTCTCTCTCTCTCTCTCTCTCTGTTTCTCTGTCTTCCTTTCTCTGCATGTCTCTGTCTCTTTCTCTCCCTGTCTGTCTCTCTCTCTGTGTGTCTGTTTCTCTGTCTCTCTCTGTGTGTCTCTGTTTCTCTGTCTCTCCCTCCCTCTCTCTCTCTGCCTGTCTCTGCCGCCCTCGGCCCTCACGCGCCCAGTGAGGAGGTGGCCCCTTGGCAGGCAAGTGCTTTCTGCAGTCACTGCCCGCTCGCCTCTGTAATCCACACCCCCTCCAGAACTACATGCCCAGAGCCACCTTCATGACAGGCCACGACGGGGTCTACCGGGGCCCCACCTGTGCCACCCCCACCCAGGGACGACCGTAGACATCGCCGTGCCTGGCCGGCAGCCTCCATGTTTGAGCACCTCTAGGTGCCTGGAGCTGTCACGTGGCCCTAACCCTGTTTCCACACGAGGTCCCTGGCACAGGCTGTGAAGATCGGGATGCGGACTTGTCTTTTAGGGAACCACAGTACCACCCTCTATAGTTGCATCCAGTTCTCTCTGCAGGCTCCAGGGGAGGCTCCTTCCCGCCTCTCCCGGCTCCCGGGGGCTCCAGGCGTCCCTGGGCTTGTGGCCGCAGCCTCACTCCCGCCTCTGCCTCCTCCGTCTGCCTCCACGTGGCTTCTCCTCCACGTCCGCGTCCCCTCTGCCGTCTCTCACGGGGACGCCTGTCGTTGCATTTAGGGCCCTCCCTGATCCAGGGTGGTCTCATCTTTAGATCCTTGACTAATCACATCTGCAGAGACCCTATTTCCAAATATGCTTGCGACACTTACCATCCTTCCTGTGGCTGCTTTAACAAACCACTGTAAACCACGTGGCTTAAACGGCAGAAATCTATGCTGTCCGGTCCCGGAGCCCGGGGGTGTGGGACGCAGGGGTCTCGGGGCCGCGCTCCCTCCACGGGCTCCAGGGGAGGCTCCTTCCCGGGCCTCCCTGCAGTCTTCACGCCACGTCCTCAGGCGTGCTCGCCTTTGTCTAATTTCCCTTAATAAAGACACCAGTTGTATTAGATTCAAGACGTCCTCATCCTAAGTAATTCCATCCGCAATCACCCTACGTCCAAAGGCGGCCCCGTTCTGAGGTCGTGGGGGGCCTGGACTCCCCACTCGAGTTTGGAGAGGGGCACGTTTCAGCGCATACTCCTGCGCCTGCCCGCCAGGAACGGCCTTTTCTACCTGATTTTTTATTTATTTATTTATTTATTTTTGAGACAGAGTCTCACTTTGCTGCCCAGGCTAGAGTGAGTGCTGTGGCGTCAGCCTCGCTCACAGCAACCTCCAACTCCTGGGCTCAAGCGATCCTCCTGCCTCAGCCTCCCCAGTAGCTGGGACTACAGGCATGCGCCACCATGCCCTGCTAATTTTTTTTCTGTATATATTAGTTGGCCAATTTCTTTCTATTTATAGTAGAGACGGGGTCGCTCTTGCTCAGCCTGGTCTCGAACTCCTGACCTCAAGCGATCCTCCCACCTCGGCCTCCCTAGTAGCTGGGACTACAGGCATGCGCCACCGCTCAGGCTAATTTTTTCTATATATTCTTAGCTGTCCAATTCATTTCTTTCTATTTTTAGTAGAGACGGGGGTCTCTCTCTCGCTCAGGCTGGTTTCGAACTCCTGACCTCAAGCGATCAGCCCGCCACGGCCTCCCAGAGTGCTGGGATGACAGGCATGAGCCACCGCGCCCGGCCTATTTTTTTTCTTTTTTAAGGTAAACGTGAAAGAACACACCTCCTTCATGCTCCCCAATCCTGGCTCCTACACGGTGAGAATCAGAGTGCGGGAGGAGTTTAACCGACTCCTGAGCGAGTGGAGTGCGCCCCGGCGCTTTGGTGAGTGCACGCCCTCCGCGCGCGCCTGGTGCCAGGGTGGGAGCCGCGCGCCCCCGGGTGGGGGACCCGGAGCCCCCTGCACGCAGCCAGGGTGGGAGAGTAGCCGGCTTCTCACTGCGGGTCCTCCGCGCTCCAGAGGAGGGGCCCCCCTTCCCTGCGCCCCTGTGCGTCTGGACCCCACAGAGGACCCTGAGCGTGCGGGCGAGGCCGCGCTGCGCTCTTACCCACGCGGGGTCCACGTGGGAAACCAGACCGGCCCTCTCACTGCCGGGCTGGCCGCGCCCCTCGCTGCCCGGCTGGGCCCAAGCACCCCTGGACACCCTAGGGCGGTCCCAGACGTGACCTTTCGCCCCCACCCCCAGTGTGTGACCCAGAGGAGGACGCGCACACCCGTTCCTTGCGGACATCACTGCTGGCCGTGCTGGGCGCGCTGCTGGCCCTGCTGCTGGCGCTGCTCGTCTGCAGACGGTGAGCGCGCACCGCCCTCGCTTGGGTGTTCCGGCACTTCCGGGAAGCTGCGTGGTCTGGGCAGCCCGCGATTCCCCGTAGGGCCCCACTGCCCAATTCCTGTACACCCAGAAGCTCCCGGCGGGGACATGGGTGTCCCCTGGTGGAGGCAGGGGCAGAGAGGTGGGAGGGCAGAGGACCTTCACTTCTGGTCTGGGGCACCTGGGCTAAGGTCACAGCCTGGACAGAAGGGCAGGAGCTGTGAGGGGGCACACCCGTTGTCGGGAAGGACCCGGGTGATCACAGGAGGTGACTCCTCCCTGCGGGGCTTCCTGCCTGGTCATCTCTCAAATGGGCTCCGTGGCAGAAGGATAGTGAACCCTTCACCCAAGATCCTGACCCAGAGTTTATGCAACGGTCACCAGGAGCCAGCTCCCCTAACCCTAATGACCACCAGGTGTCAGCTCACCCTAACCCTAACCCTAACAACCACGAGGTGCCAGCTTACCGTAACCCTAATCACCACCGGGTGCCACCACACCCTAACCCTAATCACCACCGGGAGCCAGCTCACCCTAACCCTAACGACCAGCAGGTGCCAGCTCACCCTAACCCTAATCATCACCGGGTGCCAGCTCACCCTAACCCTAATGACCAGCAGGTGCCAGCTCTCCTAGCCCTAATCACCACCGGGTACGGGCGCTCTGCCCCGCCGGTGCCACACACCACGAAGTGCTCTGCGCCTTGGGTCCCCCCCTCCCGCTCCCGCTGGGCCTCCCAGGAGCACTGAGGCCGAGCTGGGCCTCGGGGCGGGACGACAGCGACCCCTCCCGCAGCGGTCGGAGTCTTTATCCCGTGCGACCTGGCTGCGGCTGTCAGCACACACTGCGTCCCCGCCCAGCAGCCCGGCGGCGGTGCTGGCTCCCGGGCACCGAACGTCTCCTCCCTCCCCCAGGTTCTCGCTGATGCAGAGACTCTTGCCCCCCATCCCCCGCATGAAGGACCCCATCGGCGACGACTTCCCGCACGACAAGCTGGTACGCTGTGCGCACTGCCGTCACGGGGTCCCGGGGACTCGGGTGGCCTCGGCCTGGCCCGGAGGCGGGGCGCGGGGGACGGCTGCAGGACGCGGGTCCCGAGAGGCCAGGCTCCCCGCCCGGAGCACGGCCGCCTCCCCGGCCCTGGCCCCCCCCCCCCCCCCCCCCCCCCCCCCCCCCCCGCGAGCGCCCCGGCCCCCCGTCACGAGCGCAGCCGTCCCTGGTCCCCCCTACCGCGAGCACCGCCGTCCCCGGGCCTGGTCCCCCCGCGGGTGGGGCCGGGAGCCCCAGGCCAGCGCGGACAGGGTGTCTCGGGCCGCTGCGACTTTGGGAAACGGAGTCGCCCCCCTGTGTGGGGCGCAGCGACTCACAGAGGCCCCCTCGCCGCGCAGATGCCCTGGGAGGCCAGCAGAGAGGACGCGGAGGAGGACTGCGCGGTGGCGGAGGTGCAGCTCGCGAAGGAGACGTGACGCGGCCGCGGGGCCGCCTCCTCCGCAGGGCCCGCAGGCGGGGGCCAGGCGGGGGCCGCGAGGGGACTGCCGCGGAGGGGGCGACAGCGGGCCGCGCCAACGCCATGCAGTCAGGAGGCGCCACCGGGGACAGAGAAAACTTTGGTGCTGGGGTTCCCCAAATAAAGCGTTTTTCACACACTCCCCCCCACCCATCTCGGGGGTCTAGCCGCGTCACCGCAGAGCCACTCGGACTCAGTTTCCACCTCGGGCAGTCCGCTGCACCAAGACGCGCTCCCCGCGTTTCTCTGTGAGCCCCCGGCGCCACCTGTGTGACTAGGGCGGGCCTAATGTCCCCAAACGGGCGCTGTTCTCGCAGGTGAGCCTGTACCCGCACAGACGCACGTGGACACCGAGCACCCGCAGGCCGGAGCGGCCGTGTCTGGCGGGGTCTCCGCCCCTGCCTGGCCTGGCCTCCTCGCGGTCCGCGAGAGAAGGCTCCTGCCCCTCCCCCATAGACAGACACTGGTCCCCTCTGCGGCGCCCTTCGCCCTCTGGTCGCGTGTGGACGTGGCCTGCACCTGCTACCCAGCCCAGGGAGGTGCCGGCAGGGACGGGGCATTTCAGCAGCCGTGTGTGCTGCGCCCGGTGGCCCCAAGCGTGCCTGTGCCCCTGAGTCCCTCTGCAGGCCCCGCGCGTGCCAGCCTTAACGCCTAGAACTGAGCTGAGCTGGCTGGAGCCGGGTTCCCCAGACGGGAACAGAGATTTTGGCAACGCTGGGTCCCCAGGGGGCGGGGCTTCCCTCAAATCACCTCCCCGCCCTAGAGCTGCGAATTCCTCACGAAGTTACCCAATTTTTAGCTCGCTGGCCTTCTTAGCGTTTGAAGAAACATCACCCCCACGTTGCAGCTGCTGGGCTCTGAATGCCAGCTTCTGAGAACCAACCCCCCACCCCGCGGAACCACAGTGACCGTGACTTGCGGAGTGCCCGACGACGACGACGGGGCTGGTTGGTGTGAATTACACAAGGCCCAGTTACTAGGTTAAAATGTAACAGGAGTGGAAACGACTCAAGACCGAACCCCGCGGTTTTCACAGTTGCACAAAATCCAAGTCCCAGGGTCTGAGTGTCAGAGCCCGGGCGTGGGGTGCCCCTGCGGAACCCGCGTGTGGGCTCAGGGCGGGAAAGCCACTGGTCACTTACCCACATCGTGAGCCCTGTGGCCAAGTCAGGACTTGAACTTCCTGCTCTCTAATCTAGCTTCATCTGGAAAGAAATGAGGGCTTGTACCCAGCAGTGCCTCTGAAGATTGCTGATAAGATTCTGCCTTGACAGGCAGAAGTTCTGGAAAGGCCGGGGGAGGCTCGGGGACACAGGGCTGCCCTCCTCACACCCACGACACAGCAAGCCAGAGGTTCAACGTTCAGCAGGGGAATGACTCAGAATGAGCTCCTCTCCTGCGGGGAGCAGCCTGTGCGGAACGGCTCAGAAGCCAGCTGGCCTGGCTGTGCCCACACGGTGGCAGGTTGGACAGGTGAGGCCTCCACAGAAGGGAGGGGTGGTTCTGTCTCTTCTGGGACCTGAACTGCAGGGATGTGGCTGGAAGGGCATTGCTAGGACAGCAGGCAGACAGGACTCCAGGAGCCTGGGGCAGGAAGAACTTCTGGCTCTGGATGCTCATGCTGAACATTCATGCAAGGTGATGGGTGGTGTGAGCTCAAGTGCTGTCCACCCTCACGAATGCAGAGTTCCCCTCACACGAGGACACACCCAACCACACTCCACCTACAGTGCCTCCAAGAATGTGACCAACAGGTGTTTACGAGCACCCACCACAGGGCTCTGTTACAGCTGCCTATAGAACAGCACACTAGTGTCCTGCAATGGCTGCCTTCCAATGCATAGAGCCCCGTCCTGGGCCTGGCTTCAACCCTACATCCCATGTCTTCCCAGCCAGGGACCACTTGGGCCTCTCTGCACCCCAGGATGGTCAGAAAGGGTGGCCCCGCAGGGACAGAGCAGCCCCCCACTGACCCCTCCCTGCAGCCCCCACACCCCAAGGCTGGCCAGACCACGCAGGGAGACTCTGTGTCCTGTGTTTATTGTTTTGCAGAATGCCCCACGGGAACATGATTGCAGACACTCGCTGTGCAAAAACAGGAGCTAGCTAGTGCTTAAGTACAAATGGAGACATGATTCTTCTTTAAATAAATACTTAAACACGACACGGGTCCTACAAGCATCTGGACTCGAGGTCTGAGTGGCCCACCCGGTGTCAGGGTTCCCCTCCCCCCAGTAATCAACACATGGAGTCGGCCGCCAATGGTCAGCATGATCGCAAGCCCTGTTCTAGAGCCTTCCCCCGGCCCTCTACAGACATGATCTGGCCGGGACAGGCAACTGGAATTTCTCGAAGGTCGGTGGTCTGTCACAGGAAAGGATTCTACGGGGCTCTCCTGGTCCCCGGGCCGGTCGGGGGCAGACGCCCTTAGATGACTTTCTTCAGCTCGTCGTACAGGACCAGCACGAAGGCCCCGCCCATGCCCCTGAGGACGTTGGACCAGGCGCCCTTGAAGAAGGCTTTGCCGCCCTCGTCTCTGAAGATCTTCCTCCAGCAGTCCACGGTCCCCTTGTACATGATGTCAGCTGCCAGGAGGGGCAGAGGGGGACACGGCGGTGAAGTCCCTCAGCACAGGGACACCTGCCCCCCAGACCTTCCACAGAAACCCAAACCCAGTTAGCAAGGTGAGTAACTAACGGTTCCAAACAGAAGAAGAAAAAAACGAAGCTCTGGTGAGCAACTACCCCAGCTTGGGGCCTCCTACAAGCTCTTGTCGGAAGCGGGTATTCGAGACACAGGACAGGAGACCCCAGCCTTGGTGGGACCCCGTTTCCACCCCTGGGGCCCAGGCAGGACTGAGGGTGTGGGCCTGGTCAGGTGCCCAGATGGGGCCACAGGTCCAGGGCATAGGGATCTAAAGACTGCTGCCTGTGCAATGCCAAGTGTCAAAAAGAACAGAAGCCCGTTCATTCCCAAGGGAAATTCCTTCAGGCAGGCAGGGTAGGGCTGGGGTCAGGTCTCTCTGCCAAAGTGCTGCCTGAAACCCTTTGGGCGTGTCACCAGAGCCAGCAGCACACCCCCCAGGGGCGGGGCCGGGGGCCACTGGAAGGGCTGCCAGGGACAGGGACGGGGCCGGTACCTCCTTTGCGCCCAGACTGCATCATCATGCGCCGCCGCACGGTGTCGAAGGGGTAGGAGACCACGCCGGCCACGGCCGTCACCGTCTGCGCTATCATCCAGCTCACCACGATGTGCGTGTTCTTGGGGTCGGGGAGCATGCCTGTGGAGTCACCAGCCAGCGTCAGTGCCCAGAGCGCTCACACGTGGGCCCCCCGAGAGGGCTGGCACCCCGTCCCTCCAGGGTCTGAACTGACCCTCCACATGGCTGCACGTGGGGGGGGTCTCGGTACGGGCAACCTTCGCGATGCTGGAGGTCAGGACCTGGTCAGATGCAGGTTAGGGAGGCGAAGCCACCTACAGTCTAGCGCAGCGTGGCCAGACAGTCCCCGAGGCTGGGGCTGGGCAGTGGCCCGTCTGGAGACCAGGGCGTTAAGAGCGCGCCCTGGAGGTGGTGTCTGAATGTTTCAGCCCCAAGGTGACAGCCCGTGATGGCCCCGGGCTTTGGAAGGGTTACCGTGGTAACAGGTGTGTGCTTGTTGTGTGGCCTCCAAAACTCGCTTGCCAAAGCCCCCCAACCCTTACACCTCGGGACACAGCAGCATTTGAAGTTAAAGAGATAACTGAGGTAAACTGAGGCCTCTCAGTCCTGATCTAGCAGGACTGGTGTCCTTGTAAGCAGAGATGAGGGCACAGATAGGCACACAGGAACAACCCCGTGAAGACACAGGGCGTCTACACACCCAGGAGAGGAACCAGCCCTGAGACCCCTTGATCTGGGACCTCCAGCCTCCAGGACGTGACAGGACGCCCGCCTGTCAGTCAAGCCCTGCCGTGCCCTGGGATTGGGCCGGGGCGGCCGCACTCACCTTTGGCCGTGTCGTACACGCCGAAGTAGGCGGCTCGGTAGATGATGATGCCCTGCACCGAGACGTTGAAGCCCTGATACAGGCCCCGGATGCCGTCGGACTTGGTGATCTTCACCAGACAGTCCCCCAGGCCCTTGAACTCGCGCTCGGTGCCCGACTTCCCCACGTCGGCGGCCAGGCGCGTCCGGGCGAAATCCAGCGGGTACACGAAGCAGAGGGACGTGGCCCCGGCCGCCCCTCCGGAGGCCAGGTTGCCCGCGAAATACCTCCAGAACTGCGTGTGCTTGTCCACGCCCCCCAGGAAGATCTGCTTGTACTTATCCTTGAAGGCGAAGTTGAGGGCTTGCGTGGGGAAGTAGCGGATGACGTTGGCCAGGTTGCCCCTCCAGAAGGACAGCATCCCCTGCTCCTTGGGGATGCGCACGATGCAGTCCACGATGCCCTTGTACTGCTTGTCGGCCGCGATCTGCTTGCTGGCGTGCTGCACCTGCGGGGCGCGGAGGGGGCTGCTCACACGGGGGCCCGGGTCTCCCCGCGCAGGGACACTCCGAGCACAGAGCGTGCCGCTGGCTAGAGAACCAGCTCACGGGTCACCGGCGAGCTGCCCTAAGCATCTCGTTAGAGCCAAGATTACTTGTTACTGCAACCCAAGTGCCACCTGCTACATTGTAGCGACGCCAATGGCAGGAAGGCAACAATGTCGCCCGCGGGCGTGCTACCGCCAGTACTATCCGCACAGGGGGGCAAGCAAAGCTCACTGCGGCCCAGGACTGCAGACGGGCCGGAGGAGAAGGCAAAACGCACCCGGGGAAACTCGGGGTCCCGGCATTTTGCAGCAGCAGGACACCCACGGGCAGGGTGGCTGGGCCCTAAGCAACGGGACCGAACTGGTTAAGCAGGGAGGAGCGCGCGCAAAGGCGGGAAGCGGCCGGGCAGAGGCCGGCACGGGGTGACCTCAGTCCCCCGGAGAACCGGCCAACCCCCCAACCCCCGCCCAAGCCCCCCGAAGCCCCCCAAGCAACCCTTCCCCAGGCTCCGGGCCCACCGCGCACGCGCGGGCGCCCGGCCACGGCGCGGAGACCCAGTGCGCAGGCGCCAGCCCGCCCCTGCGCATGCGGCGGCGCTCGCGCGACGCGTCCCCGGAAGCCGGCGCGGAC